TTTGTCGGCATTAATTTCAATTTATGGCAATAAACTCCTAGTTATAAAGTTAAATAAAGAATAATTTAAATAGATGCAGAAAGGATTTACATAAACGAGTTTTTTACTCAATCAAGCGTAATGAATTGTTATTGGGGCAACTGGCAATTCAATAGGGTAAAAAAAAAAATGCAACAATGAATTACCAGCGAAAGAGTCAATTCACCGATAATGGCATACATAATTGAACATGTTTTCAGTTCTGTATTTTTTTTTTCTATTTTTTGGTCAATACAATTTTACAATTCACCAACACTTACTCAGCAACAAACAATGTGCAACATGCATGCGCCTTGTGGTATATTGATTTTTATTATTTTTTTTTGGCGACACAAAACGAGCCATTTTTTTTGCAGTAAATTTTTATAGCCTATTGTTTGTTGTTAAATTTTTATTTCGTTTTTCCTGTCGGTCACTGCATTGCCGCCATTTGTTGTTTGTGTATGTAGCATAGATATGTGTGTAGATATTTCGCAGTGCACTGTTTTGATGCTCCATTAAACAACATGAAAATCAGCACTGTTTGCATATTTTTAAAATGATTCTTTTTTTAATTTCCATGTATTTTTCATGCTGCAATTACTGCGAATGGGGCGCAGTAATAAAAATGTCATTCACCGGGTGTATTTATTTAGCGAATACATACACGTATGAGCGATTTGAACAGATTTTTCTATTAAATAATTTTATTTAAAATTTTTTTTTTAAATAATTTTGTCTTTTAAATTTAAGATTCATATATATTGTAATTATAATTTATTATTATTTATTATTAATTTTTTATAAGCTTAACAATGAACTCTATCAACACCTCTTCACTAAAAGACTCCACACCAATTTGATTATTATAAATATTTTACACATTTTAGTTTAAAAAAAAATTAGTTAGCAGACAAATTATGTGATTTTTAAAAATTTAGTCTTGATCATTCACACTATCTTTTTCATAATTATTTCACTGTACTTAAACTTGTTTGTATATTTTTTGGTATTTTTTTTCAATATTAGTTATTTTTATAAACATTTTTTCAACAATGATTTAAGAAAAAGTAATATTTTTACAGATCTATACTTTTTTCTAAAAGCTTTTAGAATTCTTCAGTTCACGTTTTTATATTGCGTAAATCTTTAATTTATATATATCAACATATATGTACATATACAATATTCACTAGTATTTATTTGCCTTTCTTTGTAATTTTTTCATTGTAGAGTTTTTGATTCCATTTATTTTTTATATGTATAATGTTTAATATATGTATATGCACATTAATTTTCCATTTCACCCTTTACACTTTTGCTTTGTTATTACTTTGTTTTTGTATATTTTAATATTAAATTAAATTTTGTTAAATTTTCTTAGTTATTTTGTTATAATTTATTTGTAGTTTAATTATATAATTAATATGCTATTAATTGCAGTTTTGCATTTTTTGAGTTGATATTAATGCTATTAATTATTTCTAATTTTATTTTTTTAATATTTTCTTTATGAAATTTATTTCATTCTTTTTATTTTCCGCTTATGTCTTACGAGTAAGAACAATTATTTAGAACGAATAAAAAATTTTAGAAAAATAAATTCAATTTTTAACTTTAGAATTTGTAATTTTTTACTTATTAATTAAATTAAAATATTTAAAATTTATATTTATATCTAAAAAAAGTAGTATACAAATTATTTTCTAGCGCGTTTTTCAGCAAAACTTTAAAAAAATTAAAAAGAAATATCACTTTACCTAATACAACAAAAAAAAATTATATAGTTTTTTAAAATTTTTAACTTTAAAATTTGAAATTTGTTTCTAATTAATTAAAATGAAATGTTAAAACTTTCTTGCACTTAAAATGTAATTATAAAAATAATTTTCTGGTGCCTTTTTCAACTAAAAGTTAATGGAAATAAAAAAAATATATGTATATATTAGTTTGCCTTACACAATATTCATTGTAATAATTGTTGCTGCTTCTCTTTATATTTTTCACTTCATGCACTCAATAAACATGTCTTTGACTTATGTATGTATGTATGTACTCATACAGTATTTCCTCAAGTTTGCGCTTATCACAAGACTTATCAACACTTGGCCATCGATAAGCTCACATAAGCGGACAAAGTTATGCACTACACTTGGCACTAAATGTGTGTAGCTTTGGGTGATAACCAAGTTATTTAACACACATATACATATATTATATGCACATGATTATAAATAGTAAGTGTAGTTTTATATTTTTGTAATACATATTTAGCATAGTAAGACATAAAAACAACATGCATTATTCTCGCAAATATTTGCATAGACACTTTGTTCGGTGATACTGTGTACAGTCTAGTTAAAATGTATATAATTGCACTAAATTAATGAAAATATTTTTTTTAAAAACATTATTTTATTTAATTTATGAGAAAATACTCAAGCCGTTCATACTTAAGCCGTTTTGTTGTTGTAGTTGTTACTTGATTTTAACTCTTATCTGTTGACCTGATTTTTAATTCCAGTTACTGCATTAATAAGAGTGAATGTTTACAAATTTATATTTACTTTGCTGGGGTTATTTTATACTTCCTAAAGTTTTTCTTTTGAATATTGAAAGACGAAAGATTTTATTGAAGTAACTTGATTTTTAAAGTATTTACAATTTTTTATTAATATTCGTTCTCTGGGAATTATTCAATAGGTATTGACGGATTGTTTTGTCAGGTCAAAGGTTTCGACATGAAACGAATATATTTTGCATTTTTTTATGAATAAAGTAACCCACTTTAACTGATGTATTGAAGTGCAGTGAGACTTTTTTTCATTTTGGTGACGGAAATTTGTTTTAAAAAATTTGCATATATTATCATATTATATATATATCATATTTATTATTATATATTATTATATATATCATATTTAGAACTTTTTATCTTGGGTTTTTGGCTTTGATCTAAGTGAACTATATTGCTAGGTCCAACTACTATATTGTTCGAAAAATATTTCAAGTGCAGCATAAAACTGAAAGCTTCATTATTATTTTTTTTTCTTTTTTTCCAGTTTTGAAATACTTGACGCTTATTTTATAAACTGGTATATTATTTAAATTTCCAGCACTTTATTATCTTCTATACATATCAGTGTCAATTTATTTATATTCAATAGTCAAAATTGATAAGAAATTTATTCAAGGTTGTCAAGTTGTAGAACAAAAATGAAAAAAGAGACAAACGCAAAGTTAAATTCATAATTTTTAGGCCAACAAAAACTAGAGCTTGTGCGCAAGCAAATACAGACACAGATACATACATACATATAAGAGCCATAAAAGTGTGACGTAGAGGCGCACATACATATGTATGTAAAAGTCTATAAGTGAGTATCATAAAATTTTATAATTCAAAAATAAACATTTGATTGATTGATTTGCTCCAAAAATATACTTTTTATCCAATTTTTCAATTTTCTTTTCTAACCACACTTAATAAACACGTTATTTGTTTTGCAAAACGGTTGTGCGAATATTTAATTTAAAAAAAAAAAAAAAATGTTTATTATGCTCCAACGTGTTATGGTCATAAATTAATTTATTAGTGTTATCCGTTTGTGCTTAGTTTACTTTTAATTTTTTTCTTTACTCTTTCGCTGTGTAAGCGCTTTATCTCCCACTTATTGCTCTTATTAGTCCAACTTCAATTTGTTGTAATTTATTTATTTGCTGCAATTGAGTTTGATATTTTTATGCATTTACATACATATGCAAGTATGTATGCATTTGTTTACAATTGGCACTTGGCAATTTGCTTTGCAGTCACACTTGTTGCTTTAGCTTACTAGATGGCCGGCTGATTGGTGGCCGGTTCAGGCTGCAGCTTTAATACACATCAAACACCATAAATTATGCGTTTTAATATTATTTCTATCAATTTCATATGTCTTGCACAAAATTAATTATGAAAATTTTTTCTTTTATCATTATTGCCATCTGTTACTATTAATTTGGGTTGCACATTTATAATGCAGTTTTTTTCGTTGCACTCTTTCAGTGCAGAAGTCGTAAAAGCGAATCGCAAAAAAAAAATTAATTTATGTATTTTTTATAACTCCATCAGTTCGTTTAATTACAAACTTTTATACTTTTCAAAGTTTATTTTTAATGGCGCCATCGCTTTTACGGACATTAAATATATGCAATAGGGATTGAACAGAAATAAATTCAAAGCATTTTTATCTTTCTACACACGTTTGAGAGTAACAACAAATAAACCATGCATATTTATGAACAAAACTGGCATTTGCTATTATTTGAATTCTCAACCCGTTTTACGAGTACTCAATGAACGCCACAAACAATCCGTTTTTTTATATTCAGCGTATTTTGTAGTAATTTAATATTTTATTTTTTCCTTTCTTATTTAACCCTCACTAGCCGCACTAGCCACACTCAAAATATGTTTGTATGTATGCATTTATGTATTTATGTATGTCCAATTGTTCAAGCCACCAAAATGTATTATACAAAATGCCGTTAAAGTGACGAAGGTGCAAACAAAGCAAAAGCGTTAAGAATGAAAACTAAAAAAAAAAGTATCCAACAAAAACATAATGCTGCACACAAAAGGCAAAATAACATTAAAAAAAAAAACAGTTTAACACACATATCAATGAATTTAAATTTTATTAATTTATTTCTCACATTCGCTTTTATGCAAACTTCTCGAAATCAGTTTCACACAATTATCATTTTTATTATTATTATTTTTTTGCTATAAGTTTATCGCTCTGTTCAAAATTGAACAATCATTTCTTATAAATTTTTTATTTACTTTTTTAATTTCACTCTTTATTGTTGGTATTCTATTTTCATAATAAAATCAGTTGTATAAACACTTCATCATATGTCGCACAGCAGCAACCGTTGTGGTCAACAATAGGCTTGTTGGCGTTTAACGTCATCGATTTTGGCGCGTCGTTACTTACAAATTATTTATTTTCTTTCTTGGACGCGTTTACACTAAACTAATTCACACTTTTATGGTTTAAGCGGTTGTTTGTGTGGCAGACATGCGCGTTAATGCACACATACTTTTCGCTCACAAGTTATTTTTCAAACTAAACAAAAGCATGTTCGGTAAATGCGAACGATCGTGTTGATGTTGCGCTGGAAACATGTTGAGTGAGAGTTCAAATGCTGAGAGCGTGCGCTCAGATACATGTGTACAGCTGTGTATGTGTGTTGCGAGAGCGCTAAGCAGCTGTGAGCGGGCTTGATTTTGTAAAACGTCGTGGTTGTTTATATTTCTCTCGCATGCAACATGTTGCGGGAGGAGAAATGTTGCACTCGCCGACATAAGTTTGTACAACAGGGAGGAGTTCTTGAAGTTGTTGTTAAAGTGTGCTGCCACTGTAGTGGAAATTTTAAGACGCTTCATATATTTAGGATTATATTTGCATTAAAACAAAAAAAAAAAAAAATAATTATAAGTAAATAAAACGGAAAGAGTGGGTTGCCGATCTCTTTTGATAGATTTATTCGGCTTAAATATCAAAAAACATATTTCTATGGAGATGTCCCAATAGGTGTTTTATCTAAAAGATGGATTTAAATAGAAATTTTCTTCGATTTTTAAACTAGGTTCTGTAAGTATTTCACAGTGAAGCGATTTCAAATAGTTAAAAAAAAAATTAGAATAGTTTTTAGGTGATCTTTTTGGGACCGAAAAACAATCTGTTTTGACATAAGCATTTAAAATTTTTCTTCGATAAGAAATTTTCACTAAAAAGGATATATGAGTCTGAAGAGGAATAACTTGTATTTAGATGATCTTTTCAAATTGTAATATTTGCACAAAAGCATTTTAAAAAGCATTTATATATACACATTTGGCGTTCAATTTGTGGCTCGCGTCTTGATGGTTTTCCTTCAAACGGATCGACGTCGCCTACGAACGGCCGATGGGAGTAAACATTCGCTGACGAAGCGTGGCCGCAATTTTAAAAATTAATTTTTCTTAATCCCTGGATGTTAGTCGAACCAGGACTCGAACCCTTGCCTTCCGAAAGGCAGTACGCAAATGTGTTATCAACGAAAATAAGTTAAAAGTTACCTAACTTATCAAAACTTGCCTTTACGTAAAGCATATACTATATTTTACAATCCTTCTTCTTCTCTTAAAACAATGGGAAGTCAATCTAGGGCCTCGAAAAGTAGTTTTAAAAATTTTGGCATAGATATTTGTGAGCAGAAAATGAGCAAAATATGCTTTTGGCTATTTTAGAGTTGCCTTTTCCAAGTACCATATTTCTTAAACGAAATTTTACATTGATTCATTCGTTTAAAAAAATTAGTCACGTGATGCCCGTATGTGTTTTCGATATTTTGGGCTATTTTGGGTGCAGTGGCGTTTTTCAATGTAACTGGGGCTATACCATGGCTTATTCGGTAGTTTATTCTCTCAATCAGTTTTTAAGCAATTTTATTAACTATAGGTATTTTTCAAAAATCGTTCTAGCTATTCAAGTGGCCGGGATTATGCCAGTAGTTGGGCAACCTTTTTTGGCGCCTCCGAAGACCGCACATAGCTCCGTTATTTTTCAATATTTTTGTAAAAAAATATTTTAAAACATGTCTGAAAGAATACTTCAATAAGTCGAACAAAAAACTTCAATACATTTTACTGGGAAATTTCTTTCAAAAAAATTCCCGAAAAACGTAGAATTTTTCATGGATTAGATTGTTGTAGTCGATGTCATGGATTAGATTGTTGTAGTGAACGAGGTGAGAACACTACATACGGACTTTACGGAACATCCATGCCCGAGAACCGAAATATTCTCATACCAGCAGTTTTAAAGCAAGGTGCGAAACATTTTCTAGATAATAAGTCAGTAAGCCGAAGTCAACATTTCTAGCTTAGATTTATATATCCTATAAAACTTTGTGAAAAATCCAGCGATATCGATGAAAGTATATTAAAATTGAGTGTCGATTTCGAGTTTGATATGGATTTTATTTCAATTTTTGTAGTACATTTTTGAAAAAATTTGCACTTTCCTTCTGTAACAAAAATTATTTTGCTGTGTGGTTTCTTTAAAATACTTTATTATCATCTAGTTGCGACTAGGGTTTGATGTAATTATAAACTTTTTACTCTGGCTAAACTGCTAATAGCGGATAATAATAAATACTTATATCGTGAGTTCTCTTTCTCTCCTAGAGAGCATAAACGTTAGCGATGATTAAGCCACTTTTCACTTCTATCATTGAGGCAAGTGCTTAAACTAATTAAATGTACGAATACCCCTGTCAGCTCAATTTCTTTTTAGAAACACTTTTACATTGAAAAATTCGTAATTTTCCATCATTCGATTATTAGCTGCATTTAGGCCACGTGCGAAACTCACTAATATTTTTTTGCCAGTTACAACTTAACGGTTTAACATAATCGTTTTAATTTTCCTCCTGTACACTATTTTTTATTTTTTTTATTTCATTTTATTTGATATTATTTTATTTCCTGACTTATTTCTCATTAGAAGTTATCGAACTGTTGTATGGCGCGACCGAAGCGACACTGAACTCGAATTGAAATTTTTAGTTGAACTACAACATTTCAGTTGACGATTGAATTATGAGCTCCTCCGAACGCCATTTATGCAAAGGGCTCAATGGCGACTTATAGCCGCAAATGTCAGTGTGCCAGGAGCCGCCGACTAACAGCTTCCACAACAACTCAATAACTACAAGCAACTCCCAACAAAATATATATTACTGCTTTTTAGCTCCCTTTGAATGGTGTGCATACTCATACACACATACAAGCATATGTGTATACTCCAAAAGCGTATAAATGGCCATCAAACCTTTGGCGCCAAAGTGGCGACACTGACGCGACTGTGCAAAAATATACTAACAAACAATAAACGGAAGATAGCAAATGATACAACTGTATGCGCGTATGCATGTATGTGTGTGTGTGTGTGCAATGTGGAAGGATGAACTACTTTGTTATCCTTTGCAAATTACAGCGTGACTGTAGCATACATTTTGGAGTATATATGTACAATATATATGTAAAAGAAGCGTCAAATACAAGAACAATAATACGCAAAAGTTGTAAACAATCATATGCGCCAACTTGCCAACAACATTGCATTGGAAAAACGTTAGATTTATGTTATAAAGCATAGTGGCGTGATTTTGGTTGGCAAGCTGGGAGCCACCCGAGTAGACAGACTCAGCACCAATACATACGAATTATTTCTTAAACCATATATTTTTTTTTTAGAAAATACCAATATGAAGTTTGCTTTTTCTCTATTCTATTTCCTCTATTTCCTGTGTTTTTATTACTTTTGGCTTTCTATTCGGCTGGCGGCTCCACTTTGTCTCTGTTAGAGGGTGGTGGCCGCTGTTGTTGCTATAATTTTTGGCGCGTCGATGACGCCATTGCTTTAATGCTTGCCTCCATGGTCAGACAGTAGATTTTTCGGCAATTCATGACGTGGTTTTATATTATATTTATGCAGTTTGTTAATTCTTACAAACAAACATATTTGTATGTGGAAAACTCTGTAGCTGATTTGTGTCTCACATATCAAGTATGAGTTATTGGAAATTTTATGCCATCAATGACCCTAAGAGAAACAACTTAGAAATGTAATACTAATACTAAGTTAATGACGAAAAGCTAGTTTAGTAAAAAGTAATCCATTATTTTTGAAATAGATGGCTTTAGAGATCTGTATCTGTATCCTGATTGGATTACACTAGATGGCATTGGAAGGATACGATTTTGTACACAAAACATATAATGGGAAAAGTATCGGTCACTTAAGTCGGTAGTGAGTGTCAGAGATGGCCACCAGCAAGGAGATAATATGCTATGTTCTACAATATTTGTCCGATAAAGCCGAAAACACAAGTTTGGCAGGTGGAAATGTAAATAATGTTTATGCCTCTGATATTGTAACAGTCACTCATGCACAAATTTGGGCTCGTTCATTTTGTTCCGGTAATTTTGATGTAAAAGATGCTCCACGGCGTTTTAGGGCCAATTGTCGAAAATATCGATAAAACAAAGGAAATCGCCGAGTCGAACTGTAATGCGAGCATTTTTCGTTTGTCCCGGAGGAAAACATTGCACAAACATAGTTAGGAACCACTTGAAAAAGTCCGAGTACACAAAAAAGCTTAATGTGTCACATGAGGTAAGGCGAAAAAACTTCAAGGACCCAATTTCCAGCTGTAAATCGCTGCTGAATCGTAACAAAATCAACCCATTTTTGATGTAGATGATGGCCGGGCGTAATCGGCGGGCAGCAAGCTGACCCAAATGGTCTCCAAATCAAGATTCAAGAAGGTTTGTTGTGCGTTTGGTGAGATTTGAAAAAAAAAATCATGCATTATGAGCTGCTCCCCTACGATTAAACTTCTAATATAAAGCCTGTACTGTCACCAATTGGGCCGTTTAAAGGAAGCATTCGCCCAGAAATGCCCAGCTTTGGCCAACAGGAGGAGAATTGTGTTTCATTAGAACAACGCCAGACCAAACATATCGATAATGACTTGGCAGAAGCTCCTAGAGCTTGGTTGAAAGGATATTATGCATTTACATTATATTTTGGAACTGCACCAAAAGATTATTATCTGTTTCTATCTATAGCGAATTATTTGGGTGGTGAACAATTATTCTCAAGGGAAGCTTGTGAAAATCGATTATCCCACATTTTTTTCAATACGGACAAGGATTTTTTTGAGAGGGGCTTAATGTCATTACTATTCAAAATAGAAAAAAGGTATCAAAGAATTCAGACTACAGTAAATAAGGCCTTCAACTTAGTGCAAATAATGGATAACTTTTTTTCTAACTCTAGATAAATATAGTATAGAGTTTACAGGAATGATGTTACTAAACTCGTGATAAATCAATACTTGAAAAAATATTTATAAATGTTAATACTATATTGAAAGAAGGATTTTTTAACTTAACTTTTATGAACAAATTTAAATTTCTTTTCAAAAATTGTTTTAATATGATAATATTGATCTACGACCCCATTCTGTCGTGGTTACGCTCGTCCTCGCTTCACTTGCTCCGAGCAGCCTCATATAGAGTGAGTGCCGAATCTCTCTGTCTATCGATTCGTTACGTTCTACTCATAGTGCCTATTGCATACAATCATAGATGCTGATGATTAACTAATGAAACAATGTCATTCCGTTTTGTTAATCTAAAAAATAAACTTAACGAAATGATATTAACGACTTAACATTAACGACGGCTTTTCGTTTCAGGTAATAGCGAAATGAAATTTATTTTCATAACTGCTTTAACGGTAACATTTTCAAATGGTGCAACTTTTTGACTAATGTAAAATATATCGTCACGAGATAGCCTTGCAAAAAAAATATTGATTGGATGGCGGCATCGCCATAAAGTTCTTTTAAGTTGAATGAACAACTAAAATGAATATGTACACAGAAGACTCAAAATATTGAAACTTGCTATATCATACTTCTACGAAATAAACATTTACTAAGCTAAATTATTAGTTTATTTAAATATTTAACTGTTATACAAACCTTCAATTACATTTGCATATAAATATACAGAATACTTTTCGACTTACCTAAAAAGAGAAGAAAAAGTTTTCAATAGGTTATTGAGAATTAATTAAGATTTATTACTTGTAATAGGAAATAAATACTATTTTATAATATATTTGTATAATTAGTAATTTTCTAATCCATATATCATTCAACATGACATATATTTAATAACAGTTAAT